AAGCTTGGATTCTCCCCGTGCTAAAAAGTGAACCATGATGGGTGAGGTATTCCAGTAGTCCTGCCGCATTTATAGAAGGAGGCAAAATACACAGGAGAGATGCGGTTATTCCAGCCGTGGGCAAACTACGGCCTGCGGGCCGGTCCGGCCCGTTTGAAATGAATAAAACTAAAAAATAAAAAAAGACCGTACCCTTTTATGTAATGATGTTTACTTTGAATTTATATTAGTCCACACAAACACTCCATCCATGCTTTTGTTCCGGCCCTCCGGTCCAGTTTAAGAACCCATTGTGGCCCTCGAGTCAAAAAGTTTGCCCACCCCTGGCAGTGAGCGACCTCTTCCCCCCATCCTGGCGTGCATTTGCTGTCCTTCTTTGGCAAGTTGCTGCCACTGAGTCATACAGTTCCCGTTGTTGGTTGTCCTCACTTCAGATGGGAACAAAGCTCTAAGGAAGGCAGGTTTGTCTTGCGCCTTTTTAGCATAAACATGCAGGACACTTCTGCATGTGCTGTGTGTTCAGCTTAACCAGGTCACCGCCCCTCTGCCTGGGCTTTTGGAAAAGAGTCCCACATTGTCACATGGAAAGGGACATTTCAGTGCTGATTTTTATTTCCATGAGATTAAAAGTGAAACATGTAACCACAAAGCTGGTTTATGTCATCCCCCTGTCGGAGCCAGCAGTCATGCCAAAAGTTAGATATTTGATAGGTTTGAGAGAGAAACAGATGCAGAAGGATGCCATTCCCACAATTTAGACTCCTTCTTATCTTTAAGCTAGAAAGAACATTCCAGATGAAGAAAATCTATTTTATTGGCCTTAAAAAATAGCAAAAGAAAATGTAGAAATAAAAAAAAAAATGCTAATTTAAAACTGATGTCATTCTTGGGGACTTCTATAAACTGCAAATTGGTATTTCTAACTAAAAAAAAAAAGTCGTTCAAGACATGCTTACTTGATATTTTCATTTATGCTGCTTTTTTTTTTTTTACCCCAATCAGGGTGTTATAATTGAGAGAAAATATCTACAGATATATTCACATAGAGTAGTGTGTGAATATAGGCAAGAAAAAAAAAGTAGAAAACCATAAACCTCCAAAAAGCTAAAACAGCCAAAAAGTATTCTCTCAGCTTTTTTTTAGGGAAGCATTTTGTGTCCCATTCTTTTCATTTAATTCTGCCAGCTGTCTGCTAAACAAATCTAGCCAGGTGGGGCTTACAACCCATGACTAAAAAACCTACCAGTGCAGCTGTCCAGCTTGCCCGGAGGAAGAATTCAGACAAATGGCAGGGACGAAAAGATTGTTTTGTTTTCAAGACAGTAGCTACTGTGCCTTCTTTGGGTTCAGCTTTTTTTTTTTTTTTTTTTTTTTTTTCACGGTTTGCTTAAAGTTCATCCATAACTTCTTAAGGTTTTATGATGAAATAGAAAAAAACCCACCCCTTAAAAACTTAATATTTGTGTCATAATTAGTTTAATCTATTATAATTTCCCCTTAAATAAATGCTCAATCTTACATTGTAACCTGTCACGGAGTTGTTATTTATTTATTTATTGAGTGTTACTGATTGTTAAATTACTCCCCCCTTTTTTTTTTCTCTCTCTCTCTTAGGGGGGAACAGGTTTTTAGTGAACTGTGACTGAACTTTATTTCCAGATATCACGTAATTACATATGGAGCCATGTAAAGGTGAAGGCTGGCTTGGCTTATCCGTGAGCAGAGGAACCAACAGGCCTCTTTGCACTGCATCACCAGTCGACCTCGACTGTGAATTTCTAGTCAGCAAATGGGCACTTCCTTCGGTGCATTTGAGCAGAGGGAGGCAGGAGCCGCGCGAGCAACGAGCACGTCGCCATCTGATCCACTGATGACAGATCAGCGCTGAAACCACTCCGTTCCTTTCCCACTTATTTGACATTCATCAGTTCAGTGAATCTCAACTTTTTCATCAAAGCTGTGTAACATTCTTGTAATGAAAAGGTCTGGGGGAGTGAGGACTGTCCTCGGTCTCTGGGCCCAGCACCTGTTTGAGAGGTGGGACTGTCCCCAGGGAACTCTGTGGGATGTCGCTGTACTGATGATGCCCTAGGAACTCAGCACTCTGACATGCAAGGAAAATACTACATCCATGCGCCAGCTGTCTTTTGTGTATAGGTTTAAAAGAGAATTAAGACTGCATGGGACAAAGAATGCTCTTAGCAAGGGCTCACGTCATGTCATAAACTGGTGAGGTTCTTGGGCTAACTCTCAGAGCAGGTTGGGCAAGGAGCTAGGACTAGGTGACTCTCAGGTTCAGGTGCCTCTTGCTGCCATTTATAGGGACACAAGGAAACCACTGATGGTGCAGTGAAAGGAGGCCTGTGGTCTGAGTTGTGCAGATCGCAGTGGTATCCAGCATAAGCAGGTGAAGCCAGATGACCCTTCACGTTGCCTTTATGTCGCCTTTATTTCCTTTCGTTACCTAAGACATGAGTGATATTGGCCTGGATGCTTACAGACCCCAAGAAAGAAGAACAATTTTTCATGAGGAAATTGAGGTGGTGATGCAGAACTAACCCTCATGGTTTGCTGTTATTTAATGAAGAAGGAATGATGGGGGATTTTTGGCAGAACTGGTATAGAGGCATAACAATAACACACCACAAAAGAAAATGACATTACTTAGCCCTTGGAGGATTCACACAGGCCTTTAAACGTTAGATGTAAATACATTGCATAGAGGTGATTATCAAATGAGGATACAATAAGTAAGGACTCCCCTTCCACCTCCTTGCCACCCCTGAATCAGGTCAGGTGCCCTTCATATAAAAGCATCCACCTTTGTCCCAAACTCATGCCTCCCAGCAGCGGGGCTTAGCTATTGGACAGTGTGAGCAGCCAACATATTGCAACTCCAGTAACTTTGTGGTGAAGCAGGAATAAACACAAAAAAATCATGAATATTAGAAATACAGCATCCTTTTCTCTTAGTGCACTAACTGATACAAGAATGAATGTCACTTAAGGAAGAATATCCCAAATACTATTCATGCAAGAAGTGATGCTTTGTAGAAAAAAAGTTCATAACATTTTTTTCTTTTTCCTTTCTTCCATTATGTATGCCTGTGCATATGAATCTGTTCATATTTAAATTCTCTTTAAGTATATCTTTAAATGTGGGCCAGGATTGCTCTATAATAGTGCAGACAAGCAAATCCATGACACACATTTTCTCTAGATTCTCTATTTTGAGATTGATGAATGGAGACTCAAAAAATAAATAATTTATATTGGGGAAATAGAAACATGATATGAGTTAGGCCAAGATCTTAGAAATCTTAATTTCCAACCTGTGGTCACTATTATTATGGAGATGGAAAACTTTTCTCCAAACTTGTCTCCATTGACAAAAACATCCACAGAGGAACCAGAGGTCTTCAGTACAAAATAAGTTTGCAATGAATAGGGTGATTTTCTCTTGCAGACATTCAGATATGGTATACCCTTTTGTAAATATTTTCATGAAACAAATGCTCATATACTATAGTTAGTTTAAGACATGGCTGCTTGGTTTGTTTTACTTCTCCAGGTGAAAGAGGACCAAGTATCTATCTTCTTTCGTTGCATGTCTTCTGCAATATTCTAAGCTGTTCTCCCAAGACCTGTATCCTCACCTCCACGGAAATGGCTTCCCTTTTTCGAGTTCTGCCTCCTTATCTCGGCATTTTGCTGACTTCTAATCCCGAGGATGGTGAATTGAATTTGAATATTTAAGCTTTAAACTACTTCTCCATGGGGGAAAAAAACAAAACCCACTTTGACTCTTTACCACATTTAAAAATGATTTTCTCATAAGAATTGTGGCATGTTCTTGAAATTATTCAACCTAAACATGTGCCAAATGGACCCCAGGAATATCATATCAAACATAAATGCAGAGCTTCCATGATCAGTATCAGAGGAGCGCCAGACAGAAGGGCGTCCCAAGCCCTCCATCCTCACGCGCTTACTTTGGCGCCGTTTTGTGGCGGCCCGCATGCGCACCGTGTGCTCCTGTACCGTCACACAGGCAGAAACGAGGGCGTGAGGCCCATTTAACAGTGTGAGTTGTCCCAGTGCACCGCCATTACGGGAACACCCGAGCCTCCTGTTTGCTGGTCCACTCGGAAAGCTCTGTGTGTGAAGGTGGCGGCACTGGCAGTTTCTCCCATGTTTTAGCCTTCTCTCTAGTCTCTCTCCTTCCTGCCTCCCTCCCTCCCTCCTCTCCTGTTCAGCATTTGCTTCCTTCCCATTCCATATCTTTCTTCTTTCTTCTTGTTTTTCCCTTTCATTTATCTTCTCTTAGATTTCCATTCCCTTTGCTGAATTTCAAAAATTGGCTTTACGCCAAGATTTTCCTTAGTGCCCATGTACATCCTAAACTTTAACGTTTTTTTTTCATTTATCCATGAAAATTTGGGAGAGAAAGCTCCAATAGCACTGCCTATCAAAGAGCAGCCACATTATTCTATAGAAATCATGTTCAATGATTTTATTTTCTATTGAACATGTTTCCCGTCTCACAATAATTTAAAAAAATTGCTACAAAGCCATACAATCCTGCTATTTGGGGTTTACACCTCTAGCCTAATGTACAGATTTGACTTCGCACAGCACTTGCTTATGGAGTCAGAATGGAGACAGACCTTCCCAGAGATCTCATGTTGTACTGTTTACAAGGCAGCCTGCACTTCTGGTGTACAGTCTGCTCAGATCCCGTTACAGTTACACTCAGATCTTTCTTTGGGGATAATGGAATTTAATGAGAAGGAAAGTGTGCTTTCAGTTTGCATTTTCAGAAGGATTTATGGTTAAACTTACAGTATGTAAAACCACATTTACCCCCAAATAAGCAAAAGATCCATTCACAGGAAGAACAAAACGACCCCATCTGAATCACAAAGGAAGACATTCTTCAAACGTTTTTAGAAGGTTTCAAACATCACAAAATATTTTTCTGAAGCCATCAAGTTTCCTACCTTTGGTTGAGGTCCACCTCAAGGGCAGTAACAACTCTGGTGCGCTGATCATTTGCGAATCCCAACGTTGCAACCACGGAAGGGGGCTGCATCCTGAGACATCTGTGGACCAGAGAAGCTGGCAGGGACCGCAGAGCTTTCCATTGAAGTGACTGCTCCCAGCCTGGCTGCAGGAACAGTCGACCTGAGGTAACTACTTCCACATATCAACACCTTGTCAGTGGTGGTCTGAAAGGCGCGGGCTGCAGGGAGAGGGAAGTACCTGCTTTACGGAGAGCTAACCACCTACCCTGCCCCCCTCTATCAGCAAATCTTTCATATGGAAGAGAGAAAGGAAGCCAAGTAGGAGAAAGCGATAGTAATAAAGCAAATTAAGTGCTTAAATTATGACGCTGGTTGGCTTTGGTTATTGGTATTTAACTACATAATGAATTTCTAAAAATTCAGAGCACATGTGGTTATCTAACTTGAAAAGAATTCCGTCTATCTGGGTCGATGGTTCTAAGTGCGCTGTGGCGGCACGCACAATGCGATTCTTCGGGACGTGCTTCATCAGTAAGTTGTGATTAATAATCATTCACAACTGATTTACTTAAACATACACTAGAGCAGAGGATGCAAGGCTACTCCTATAATACTTTATTCCCACTCACCGATATGCCCATTTGCATTCTTGGGTGAATAAGAAGGGGGTGGAGGTAGGCTAACATCCTGGGGACTGTAGAATCCTTAACCGTCCCAGAAACTATGTGTCACGTGTGAGCATCCTTTGCCACGTGTTTTGCAGTGGGAACAAAAGCCAAACCCTGAGTCCATTGCTTTGGGATTTGAGTTACTATCATGATTTGAGTATGTGCCCATACTCAGTTTCACTGTAATCATGACACAATAAAAGGAAAAGACCAATGATTTTGTTAATCACCTAATAATAGTCATAGACAAGGCCTCAGAAAGTGTCCAGTTGCTTCTTTTATGAGCTGGATCACAATGAAACATGCCCCAAGTTGTCAGCAACGAAGCATCCTCCGACCATTCAAACTTAGATGCAGAATGTAAGGGGCTGGAATGTGCTAATTTTATTAGGGAGAACTTGTCATTGAACCTACAGTATGAGAGCTGGGCATGAGCTCATAGGCAGCAGTTGCCATATTAGTGATGTATTATACTAAAAGCTTCTCCTTGTTAGAGTAAGCTCAAAATCAGTCTTGGGGTAAGCAAGCATTGCTGGAGTTTAAAGAACTTTAATTTCAGTGGACAAATCTAGCACCGATATAAAGTATGGGCTGACATTACTCTATATCAGTGGTTCTCAACCTTCTGGCCCTTTAAAACAGTTCCTCATGTGGTGACCCCCAACCATAAAATTATTTTCGTTGCTACTTCATAACTGTAATTTTGCTACTGTTATGAATCGTAATGTAAATATCTGATATGCAGGATGGTCTTAGGCGACCCCTGTGAAAGGGTCGTTCAACCGCCAAAGGGGTTGCGACCCACAGGTTGAGAACCGCTGCTCTATAGATTTGCATTACTTGTTTAATGCATATTTTCTTTTCTAGAAAGTAAGCTACATGAAGACAAGCATTTCATGCTCACATTTATGTCTGCAGCACCTGTAACAGAATAAGAGCACCCAGCATGCAATGGGTGGTCAACAAATACTTGTTGAATAAATAAATTTGTTGAAAAGTCCTCTGTTTTTCCCCAGGAAAAGTCAGCATGTTATTCTCACAATCTCACCAGTGCCCCAGTAATATTTTCAGGTTTCACTTTTATAGAGCCATTCATGAGAGGCCGATTGACATAAGGCATTGGTTTCTATTTTTTGTTAGAAAAAAAAAAAAGAAAGAAACAGAAAAATCTGATATCATTTCACTAGCCAACATGATATTTCTGGTTCTTGACTCATTTGGCAAAAGAAAAGCACAGGTTGAACTGTTTAGAGAAGATAAAGGATCCTTTTTAGAATTTTGAAGACTGGGGCTTTTACACATGGTTTCAAAGTTGATTGAGCACGTAAAGCGCAATGAAGACAGATCCTGCAAAAGCAAAGAAACCCTATCTGATGAGTGCCCCAAGTGTGAACACACCACATCATAACCATGTGGAAATAATAGCCTCTATCGGCAACAAAGGCTTCTATTTAATGAGAGCAGAGCCATTGTTCTTGAAAGTCTAATTTGGTAAACATCTTCCAGCGCTGACTCACCAGTACGGAAAATCCAATAATAAATCACCGCTGTGATTTAGCAATAATGCTGGAATTCACATCACGGAGTGGGCTACAGCATCCACTGCAACTCAAACAGGTCGCTGAAAGGTGCATTTCATCAGCAAGCTATTTAATTCATATCAAAGGACTTTTACCCCAAGTGAGTGGCAACTGGCTACTTTGAAAGCAGTTAACTGTTCGGGGAAATGAGTTGCCGGAGTTCCCCATAAAAAGGTAATACTCTCTAATCCTGGATGTTTTAAAAGTCGTTTCCTCCAATTCTATAGCCAACCATGCGAAAGAACAGGCCAATATCTTTGTGTCTTAATCATGTTTGGTAACCAAGCCCTTCAGATAACTGGCACTGCTTCTGTAGCAGACCAAACTTTCTTTCAAGTTACAAACACTCACCAAAGGGTTACATTCTAAGGGACTGCTTTGGAGATGTGCAGATGTAGTTTGTAAGTACAAAGTGAACATGCAAATTGCCTTATCTTGTGGGATTCACAAACAACCATCATTCAGATTGATTTAATACATGGCTTTTTATCTTTAAAAGTGTTAATTAGAAAATAGGGACAGTTCTCTGAACACTTAAGAGTAATAAATAGATCAAACGAGCATCCATGCTTCTCTGATGGAACTTCTGAAGCCTTTGTAAAGGCATTAATGCAATTGTCAAAAAGACCACAGTGCACATATTTAATAGTGTTACCAAGCTACAATTACAATTCCAGAACTTGACTGCTGAGCTTTTCAATATTCGCCACCTCAAAACACTGAGATTCTGCACAACTTGGTTCAACATTTTGAAGTTCCCGTCCTACTTTAAATTTTTCCACCTTGGACCTGCAGACACATCCTTCCAGAGAATTCTAAAATTACAAGCAAATACCAGAAGTTATGCAGCAAAGATGGGGCTGTAGAATCGCACAGAGTGAAATATTAGGAGAAAAAAAATAATTATGATTCTTTCAAATTAAAAGCATGAAACTATTTTGTCTCTATTTGGACATGTCTCTATAATGTGACAGTTAAATGCATGTGCTGAGGAGTCAGTCTTGGTTCTGCCTGGTTCAGTGACTTCAGGAAGTGACATTACATCTCTGTGCTTCACTTCATCTAAAAAATGCGCAAAACCACAGTCCATTTCTCCGGGTCTTATGGTGAGGATTAACTAGGACAGTGTTGGACAGTGCCTGGCACTTGAGTAAGTGGTCTGCAAGTTACCGGGAATCTAGGTGGTGTTTTTCACTTGGGGTACTCTATGGTTATCCTATCATCAGACCTAAAATACTTGTGGATGCCTCTTCAATTAAGGCAGGCAAGCGGTCCCAGTGCAGGGCGAGGGCTCTCGGCCTTGGCATTTCCAGGAACCTTGACTCTCTTTCTTCTTCCAGAGAAGGACTTAAGGAGCCACTTAAGGAGCCATCTTCTGAGCCACTGCTATTCCAGAGCCCCTATCTGTGTTTTATTGTGCTTTCTCACTATTCAATATTTTGATTGAATGAATTATACATATAGGTGGCAAAACAGTCTAAAAGTATAAAACATTATACAATAGCATTAGTTTGCCAGAAAACACAGTTTTTAAAATATATCATTCCAGAATTTTTCTTTGCATCTTGCTTTGCCTTTTTTTTTAATTTAAGTTTTTCTCTATAACCTCTTTCAATTCTTTACACTTGTGTTTCCTTTTCCTGACCACATGCTCTAACCCACTTGCCTCATCCAATCCCTTTTGGACCAGACACTCACATTCCTTTGACCTTTGGCCTCCTGAATTGTGAAGTTGCCCTGGTCTCCCAGTCAAAGGGCCCTTCCCTTTTTCTTCTCTGCCTGTGGTCAGTCCTTCAGTCATGCACCTGCCTTCCAGACGCACTTCAATGCCCTCCTCTGCTTCTACCATACTATGAAATCCTTTTCATTACCTGTCTTATCTACTCTCACTTCAAGATGACAGTAGGAGGGCAACTTATGAAACTCTAGTGACCACTATGAATTTTTATTATTTATCCTCAGCTGTGTCTTTCTCTTATTTCAACTGCACCGAACTTGTTTGAGCACACCTATTGGCCCTGTTATAGAATAAGTACTATCCATACGTTACGTTATTGAATTCCTCATTAGGATCTTACTTTCTTATACCAATCACAAAAGAACCATCATTCTCATCTCTCAGATGAGGAAACAGGTTTAGAGAGATTAAGTAGTCGGTCTAAGGTCCCATAACTTATTAGTGGCTGAGCCAGAATTTAGAACTGGCACGACTGCAAAGGTTTTAGCTGCTGTGCAGAGCAGTCCCTCATGCCTTTCTTTGCTCCCATGTTCCCTCAGCGGATTCTCATTCTATTCTAGCAACCCCCGTGATGCCCTCACCATCACCATCATTAGGTGATGATGTTTGCTAATTTCCTGAGAACATGGAGCCTAATCAGATCTTCCTTTCTCTTTGCTCTTCTCCCCTTCACATCACTATGGTCTACTTGTTCCTGATCGGTTACCAGCTCGAAGGATCTAGGCCATCTCCCCTACTCCTGAGCAGACAGAGGCTCTGAGAGAAGACGCACTTGCCAGGCTTGCATGGTGGATTGCAGACAGCATCAGGACTAACGTGTGGGCCTTCACACTCAGTCCAGTGCTCTCACCACCCTGGGCCTCTTCTGTGAGGCTGTGACTTCCAATGGGTTCTGGGCGCAGACACACTTTGTCTGTGCCATTCTCTTCACTTTGGGACTCCATAATTTCATGGATGATTCCTCTTTCTATTGGCTCCTTCTCTCTTTTTATAGGTGTCTTTATTTCCATCAGCTAGAGATACAAATTGAAACATTTTTATGGACCTTAATACTTCCCTCAACTTCTTCCTTCCCTCTCTTTTCCTACCTTTTCTCTCTTTTAGTGCAAAATTCCATCAGATTTAGTTGTTTCCATGAACTACATTCTTTTTTTTTTCATTCCTTCCTTTATGGCTTGCAATTTGGCTTTCACACCAGCTGCCATACATCCTGGTTGAACCCATTATTTCCGAAGGCACTCCTATGTGTTATTATACTCAAATTCAATCTCTGTGATCCAAAAGGTCTTCATAGCTGTAGCC